GGTACACAGTATATAGAAAACAAACAGCAAAATAGCAGAAATAAGTCTTCCTTACCAGTAATGACATTACATGTAAATGAATTGAACTCTCCAGAAAAGTCAAATATTGGCAGAATGATTTTTATTTTATTATTTGTTTATTTATTTATTTATCATTGTGGTACTGGGTTTGAACCTTTAGCAGTCCTTTTTTTTTTTTGATGGGTGTCTTTGAGATAGGGTCTCATGACCTGTTTGCTGGTGCTGGCTTCAAACCGTGATCCTCCTGATCTCTGCCTTCCCAGTAGCTAGGATTAAAGCCAGCCAGAATGGATTTAAAAAACCAGATCCAAATACATGTCATTTTTTTTAAAGATTCAATTTATATCCAAAGATATACTAATAGGTTTAAAATAAAAAGGTGAAAAAATTTCCATGCAAATAGGTAGGAAGGGAAAGAGAGAGAGAGAGAAGAAGGAGGAGGAAAAGGAGGAGGAGGAGGAAGAGGGAGGGGAAGAGGACAGGACAGAAAAGAGAGAGAGACAGAGATACAGACAATTGTACACCAACAAGTTGATAACCTGAATAAATGGGAAAAGTTCTTAGAAATAAACAATACCAAAAGTGACTCAAGAAGAAATAGAAAATCTGAACAGATCTGACACCCATGAAGATGGCCACCATCCAAATTGCAGTTTAGTATACAAAAGGTAAATTGAGGAAAAACTATCTGGTCTTCCCAGATACAGGAAAGAAGAGGAGTGAACTTCCACTGTTGAGGTTTTCCCTCAACCACCATAATTGTGTAGATTTTGGAAGATAAGGGTCCAAGATGAGAGAGTAAAACTGCCATATCAACAGGAATTAGGTGGGCATACTGAGCATCTGCAGAGTCACCCAGGGTCCCTCCCCTCTGCCATAGATGTCACTGGAGGCAGATGCACAGGGCCTTGGCAGCTTCAGTTGGATATAGACAAAAGTTGCCCTTGTGAGTCTGAGAGCTATGAGCAATCCCATTTCCTGTGTTTCTTCTGCTTGCATATAGGACAGATAGTCTTTTGTTTTAGTTTTTGTGTTACTGGGGATTGAACTCAGAACCTCACACTTGCTAGGAAATCACCCTATGACTTGAGCCATGCCCCCAGCCCTTTTGCTTTTAGTTTGTTTATTTTCAGATAGGATCTCATACTTTTGCCCAGGCTGGCCTTGGAATGTGGTCCTTCATCCCAAGTAGTTGGAATTGCAGCCATATGCTACCACATCCAGCCTGTTTTTGAGATTAAAGTCTCATTAACTGTTGCCTGGGGTGGGCTGGAACCTGATCCTCTGCATCCCAAGTAGCTGAGATTATGAGTTTGTGTCACCATACCTGATTGACAGGGTGTCTCTGATGGCTGTCATACTCAGGGGCATTCCTGTGCAAATGTCCAGACTAGTTGCCACTAAAGCAAACCTCTTCACTTCTCTTCACTTGGGGAATTTAGGGGAGTACTTCCCAGGTAACTTAGAGTCATCACAACTACTTGGAGGGTGGCCAAAAATTCAGCTTGCCTCTATGTTTTTAGTGGGGAGTCAATACTGGGGTTTGAACTCAGGACCTCACACTTGTTAGGCAGGTGCTCTACCACTTGAGCCATTCCAGCAGGCATATTTTGGGTTGGGATTTTTGGGGAACTCTTTCCTTGGAGTAGCTTCAAACTGTGATCCTCCTGATCTCTCCCTCTCAAGTAGCTAGAATTACAGTCATGAGCCACCCAGCTTGGCTTGCCTCCAATCCAGCCTCTGGTCTCATTTCTCATCTCATGCCTCACATCTTTCCTCCTCTGTTTGATACCCTGAGGGGCCCAGTGCTAACTTTTGGAGTTTCTTCTTGTGGCTAAGACTGACTGTCAAAATAGATTCATGATGGCAAGAGATCAGGTTATACACAAGACAAGACCATGGAAGGAAATCAATACTCTCTGAATCCTCTAACCGTATATAAAATGGTAGGAACAAAACATTTTAAATGTCCAGAACAAATCAGGCATGTTCTGAAATGTCTGATTGTTGTACAGCAAAAATGATCACATAATTCCTCCCCAACCACCAGGGAAAAGGGGCAACAAAATAGGTATAAGAAAGAGAAGTAAGCAACAAGTGAACAGGAATGGAGAGACAGGTTTACCAAGATAAAGTCATCTACTACTGAGGAGGGGTCTCCTCAACCCTTCTGGCTTGAATCACCAAAATATGATACCAGATTTGGGTCACCAGGTCAGGGGGGGCATAACATTCCTGATGTCATCAAAGGGAAATATCAAGGATGGACCCCCCAGAGGAAACTTAAACAAGAGCAGGTTTCTGGATGCAAAACAAAGCGATAGTGAACTCTCCAGATGGGAGAGTGGGATGTCTCAAGAAGTAGTACAGTAGCTTGGCACCATGGCTCGCGCCTGTAATCCTAGCTACTCAGGAGGCAGAGATCAGGAGAATTAGGGTTCGAAGCCAGCCCGGACAAATAGTTCCCAAGACCTTATCTTGGAAACACCCAACACAAAACAAGCCTGGTGGAGTGGCTCAAGGTACAGGCCCTGAGTTCAAACCCCAGTACCACGAAGAAGAAGAAGAAAGGAGGAGGAGGAGGAGGAGGAAGAAGAAGAAGAAAGGAGAAGAAGAAGGGGAAGAGGAGGAGGAGGAGGAGAAGAAGAAGAAGAACAAGAACAAGAAGAAGAACAAGGAAAAGAACAAGAAGAAGAATTAGTGCAGTGCTGAAAGTTCCAAGACCTCAAACTTTTCTTGGGGTCTGTGACTCTGGTCAGTCCTGGAAAACTGGGTTAATGTGTCATTAACTTTGGAGCCTGGGCTAAGCATCATCAACTCCTCCCATATGTCAGGCTGCAGAGTTCTTGGCCTTGGATGGTTGGACCAGAGCTGTCATTTTCCACAGGCTGTGGGGGCTTAGGGTCAGCAAGACCCTACCCTGTTGAATATTGTTCCATTAACATCAGTGGGCTAGGATGTGATTTTTAAAATCAACATCCAACCCATCACCCTCAGCTAGCAGGTTTCCTAACTCCCTACCTAACTTACATCAAAATGACAGTAAAAAGCTTCCCAAGAAAGAAAAGCACAGACTCAATGGCTTTACTGGTAAATTCGATCAAACATTTAAAAAAGAAGCAACACCAAACCTTCTCAAAATGTTCCAAACGAGTAGAGGGGAAGGCAGGAACACCTCCCAACTTAATCTGTGAGGCCAACCTTGCCCTGATAACAAAGCCAGAGGCAGCAAAAGGAGAGAAAGCTGCAGACCAGCATCTCATTTCAATACAAGTGACACAAGTCCTCAACAAAATACTATCAAACTCAATCCAGCAGTTTATTAAAAGGGTTATACATCATGACTAACAGGTTTTATCCCAGGAATGCAATAGTGGTTCAACATATGAAAATCAATCAGTGTAATACAGAACATCAATTGCATGAAGGACCAAAACTACGCAATCATCTTGATTGATGCAGAAAAACCTTTTGACAAAGTCCAATCCTCTTTCATTATTTAAAAAAAAATACCCAACCAATGAAAAGAACCGCACTATCACAGTAAAGGGTATTTGTGAAAAACCCATAGCTCAAACATCATACTTAATGATGAAAGATTGAAAGATTTTCTCCAAAGATAAAGAACAATTTCAATTCACCATTTTACTGGTTAGATAATAAAAAGAAGTGAGCCATCCAAAAGAAAGACACAAAACTCTTTATTCACAGATGACAATCTTATACAGAAAATCCCCACAAAATTCCACCAAAACTGAATTATTAGAGCCAATAACTGAATTCAGTGAAGTTGCAGGATGTAAGATCAATGTACAAAATTGGCTGTGTTCTTACATACTAGCAATGGGCAATCTGAAAATTAAGAAAATAATTCCACTTATAATATCATTATAATTATAAATTTATGAATCAATTTAACTGAGGAAGTTCAATACTTGTACACTGACAACTAAAAGACATTGCTAAAGGAAAATAAGGAAGATCAAAATAAATAGAATGACACCCTATGTTCATGTATTGGAATATTTAAAGTTGTTAAGATGACAATATTCCCTAGAATGATCTACTATCCAATGCAACACTACCACCCTCTTTTGCAGAGGTGGAAAAGCTGATCCTAAAATTTATGCGAAATTCCAAAGTATTCCAAATATATCATTAGCTGCTTGTTTGTTTTCTTTCCTTCAGACTCCTCTTTGAACACAAACAAATAATGTATTTGTGCTCTTGCGCACATCATTTGCCATTAAATATTAGGTCAGGCAGAAGGTAACATACAGCAGAAGTTTGAGAAGGTAGACATACAGGAGTGAGAAATCAAGATGACAGAGAGAGGGGCTGCCAGAGTGGCTCAAGTGGTAGAGCACCTGACTATTAACTGCAAGGCCTTGAGTTCAAACCCCAGTACCGCCAAAAAAACCAAAAAAAAAACAAAAAAAAAAACCGATGACAGAGAAGGAGAAAAGAAGATTACAGAGAGGTTTATGGATGGGAAGCTTGTATAGTTAAACTGTAGTATTGAGAAGAAGAGACAAAAGAGGTGGACAAAAATGGTGGGTAGAAAAAGTCCAAAGATGAGTGTTTGGGACTTCATATGAAGTTAATAGGTGGCTTGATTTCATGGAATTACAGTAACAATATATAAAAACTGCAAGTTGCTTTCTTTAGAAAATTATAGAATTCTGTAGCAATATAAGACATAATAACAGATGGGCAATAGAGAAAGAGACAGTAAGCAAGGTCTGTGTAAGGTCAGTGGCCTCTGAGCCTTTGATGCAGTCCACAGTAGGATTTCTGGATTAGTGAAAGTAACTGGACCCCAAATGACACTAACCATCTCCCAACACTGCACAGCTGTCAGGAGCATGTCTTGGTTTTACTGTGTTTAGCACTCCTCATGTTCATCCAGCCAGAGATATAATGAGAAAAAGTGTGCAGAAATGATGCAGAAAGAAATAATAAAGGAGCTGCCTCTGCTTTCAGCCAGCTTCTCTCTCTCTCCCCAGAAGCCTTCTGAGTGCCCCCTTCACTTCCTTGTTCCTTAGAGTGTAGATGAGAGGGTTTACCATGGGTGTGATCACAGAGTAGAAGAGGGAAATGAATTTTCCCTGGTCCTGATTGCTGCTTTTAGCTGGAAGCAGATACCCGTAGATGGCCGAGCCATAGAAGAGGAACACCACGAGCAAATGGGAGAGGCACGTATTGAAGGCCTTGCGTTGTCCCTCCGCAGATCGGATCTTCAGCACTGCCTGAGCAATGAAGCAGTAGGAGATCAGGATGATGCTTAGTGGGATGGCTGTGAAAAAGGTGCAGACACCATTGAGCACGGCCTCATTGAGGCTCGTGTCTCCACAGGCCAGTTTGATCATGGTGGGCACCTCACACAGGAAGCCATCCACCCTCCGCTGCCCACAAAATGGGAGCTGCAGAGTAAGTGTGGACTGGATCACAGAGTTGCCCAAGCCACCCAACCAGCTAACAGCAGCCAGCCGCCAGCAGAGCCAAGGATTCATGATAGCCATGTAATGTAAGGGTCTGCACACTGCCACATAACGGTCAAACGACATCACCACCAGCAGGATGCACTCAGTAGCCCCCAGCCAAAGGAAGACATAGAGTTGGCTCACACAGCCACCGTAAGTGATGGTCTTGTCTGGCCCCCATAAGTTGATCAGCATTTGGGGGACTGAGCTGGTGGTAAAGGCAAGGTCCAGGGAGGAGAGGTTGCTGAGGAAGAAGTACATGGGTGTATGGAGCCTGGCATCAAGGCGGGAAAGCAGGATGATGGTTGAGTTCCCAAAGAGGGTCAGCAAGTAAGAGGAGAGGATCACTACAAAAAAGATGGCCTCCAGTTGGGGGTGGTCAGCTATACCCAGAAGAATGAAGCCCCCCAAGGAGCTGTTGCTGTCTCCTTCCATCCTTGGCTGCCTGCTGTCACTTGAAACTGCTGGGAGAAAAGCAAGGGAAGAAGAAGCTACCCATGGGTCTGTATCAGGAAAAGTAGAAAGGCTCCACTCATAAGTACCAGTATTTTCTTTTTGTGGTACTGGGGTTGAATTCAGAGTCTTGCACTTGCTAGGCAGGTGCTCTACCATTTCAGACATGCCCCCAGTTGGGTAAATTTCTTTTAACTGTTTTTTAGGTCAGCAGTGGAGGCCTTCCAAGGAGTCTGGTCTGATGAGGCTGTCAAAGGACCCTTCAGCTGAGCACTGGTGGCTCACGCCTGTAATCCTAACTACTTGGGAGGTAGAGATCAGGAGGATCATGGTCCAAAGCCAATTCGTGAGACCCTATCTCGAAAAAACACATCATAAAAAAAGGTTTGGTGAAGTGGCTCAGGCAGTAAGAGTGCGCCTGCCTAGCAAGCATGAGGTCCTGAGCTCAAACCCCAGTGCTGCAGGGAAAAGAACCCAACAGAGGACCCTCCAACTCTTCTTCTTACCTCCTCTTAGGATTTAAGAGAACTGAGGAATTAAGGTATAAACCTGATAATCAGCCCATCTTTCTGTTCTGAAGTTCTTCCTGAAACCTAGCTTGCTGCCTCCCATCCCTTTAAGGGAAAGAAACAGGGGCTGGACCTGTCCTTCCTGAGTTGTTCAGTCTGTCAGAGACTGGTGCTCTGTGACTGCTCAGTGGTTCCAGAGTTCCTTTCAGTTCCTGGTCTGGGCCGACTAAGCAGTTTTGGGCCTGGGAATAAACCAGACAAAATGGGAAAGGAAAGGCTGTTCCTAAAGTAGGGAGGCCGCTGAGCAAGTTCAGGAGGAAAGACCAAACCAGCTGGATTCCTGACCCAGGCTCAATAAATCCTCAAGCTTCGTTTGCAGCTGTAACTCCAAGTTAGCATTCAGCAACTTGACTATTCTTTCAGGTCTTTTTTTTACCCTTACAGGGTCTCTCCTTTTGGTTCCCGGTTCTTTTATAATCTGGAAGTGTTAAGCCACATATCCTCACATTTTAGGAAGAGTCCAGGGAGGACAATATTAAACTCCATCTTAGAAAGGATGTGGTATTCATGGTGCAAGTTAGGCCCAGAAGCACCCAGAGCAGGATGGTTTGGGGCAGCTGGAGCTTTAGGAATCACTCACAAGACGCACAGACAGCTCTTGTCTCTGCCTGCCTGTAAGCTTTGTTTGAAAGTTCAGGACGTTGAGAGAAGCAGCCAAGACCTGCTTCTTCCAGAGAGTCCTGGATCTTGTAATATCCCACCGTTGCCAGCTTCCGGTCCACTTCCTCCCTAAAGTTCACACCTCTCCATTGCTCACTTGTGAGTTAACCACGGAAAACCTGTCATTTGGGCTTGGCTTCCTGTCATCACAGAGGTTGTTCCTGGGCTGTCAAAATTCCCTGTGTAGGGCACATGTTCTCAGAATTTAAGCCTTGGGGGTAACACTAACCTGAGCAAAAAGGTAAAAGGAATCATAAAAAAAACCCAAAAATCCAAACTAATCAACCAACCTAACATCCTGCACCTTATCCAGCAAAAGGCTGGATAAGCCCCAGTTTTCCAATACTAGATCTCGAGGGTAAACTGTAATCAGTTTGCCATGTGTGTCCCCAAAGAGGAAAAGGGATGAAGAGCGTTCCGTGTGTGTTTCTACTGTGTACTGCTTCAGCAATTCTCTGCCAGAGGGCCCTACCTGACTGCCTGACATTTGGAAAGGGCTGTGGAGAATTCAGGTATTTCGAGAAAAGGGAACAGCCCTTATGAAGAAAGGCCAAGTCGGTCAAAAGTAATTAAAGGGTTTTTCCATCCACTTAACAGCTTCAAAGACCAAAGCTTGCTGAGCTCTCCTTGTCTATGAAAAACAATAGACTTAAAAGCAGGAAAAGCTGTGACTGGACATTATAAAATTCCTTCTGCTTAGGGACAGGCCTGGGACATGCCTGCCAGAGGCTCTGTGCTCTACCTGTGATCCCTTTCTTTGTTTCTTTTTCTTTTTCTTTCTTTTTTTTTTTTTTACTGTACTGGGACTTGAACTCAGGTCCTACACCTCAAGCCACTCCTTCACCAGCCCTTTTTTTGGTGATGGATTTTTTCGAACAGTGTTTCACAAACTATTTGCCTAGGCTGGCTTCAAACCACGCTCCTCCTGATCTCTGCCTCCTGAGTAGCTGGGATTACAGTGTGAGCCACTGGTGGTACCCTCTGTTCCTAGGGCAGGGTTGTACGTGCAAAAGGGGTTTTAATAGTTAGAATATTTTTTTTTCACTTTTAGAATTTCCCAGCTTCTCTTGCACCATCCTAAAGATGACTTTTGTTAAAGGGTTCTTAAAATTGTTATTTTTCAAATTTCCCTTTGGGGTTTTAATATTTTTCCTTCCTATTTCTCCTCCTTGATGACGCAGAAGATATCAATCCTCTATACAAATGGACTTGGAGCTCTAACACTGTGTGACCTCCAGGCTTCCTCCTAAAGGAACACAAAACAGCACACTTAAAAGAGCATGTAAACTCTTTCTCTTTCCTATCTGCTCATTCCCCCCACCTTTTCCCCGCTTGCCCCCCCCCATACTCTGGATTCTCCAGTAATAAAAACCTGGGGATTGTTTGTGGAATCCTACCTTTGGCTTCAGAATTCCCCCATCCTTCTTCACCGTGCTCAGAGAACAGAGAAGGCAAGTGTGGGACTGGTGAACAGGTGGTGTGATGGCTTCTGTGCTCCCATTCCAGGCCATTGGCTTTTAACCTTGCATTTAACTTGGCATTTGTCCTTGTCCTCTGAGCAGCAGACCCTAGCTGCTGGCTCTCAGGGCTGATGCTGCAGGGCCCAAGGGGGAATCTCAGCCCGCTCACCCCCACCCAGGCAATTAGCACAAAGGGCCCGTGCGGCTAAAAAAGAGGAAAGAGGTGTCCCTGAAGAAACAACCTGATCTTTCACCCGAAATCCATCTCCAACCACAGAAAACTAATAGAACTAGGAATAAGAATAACTGCATCCTTTAAATAATTATTGATTACATAATTTTATTTTTTCAATGGCTTTCACACTAGCTTCGTTTTTAAACCACTTTATGTGGTAGGAGGGGCAGGTGTTCTGCTCCAAGCATAAAGCGATGTGTGACTTGCCAGTGTTAAACAGGTGTGGCCGCAGTGATGGCTGTTCTTACAGGAAGAATCAGGCCGTCCTATGCAAAAGAGATACTATTTTTGACTCTTTTTTTTTTTGGTAGTACCAGGGTTTGAACTCAGGGCCTCATGGTCACAAGGCAGGTGCTGTACCACTTGAGTCACTCCATCAGCCCTACTTTTGACTCTTTGTTTATGAGATGTCTCTGAGTTTTTGTTCTTTTGGGAACCTTCCACATTTGCACCATGCTATAATTTATATCCACTGTTAAATGAACACACAGGAGTTAACTGGCAACCTGGCCAAGCCAGAAGCTGTCATAGGGGATGAATTACTCCAAAACAGCTGACTTACAACTTTCATTCATTCAAGAACTGGACGCTGGGCTGAGGATGTAGTCAGTGATAGAGACTTACCTAGGACGTGGGAGGCCCTGGGTTCAATGTCCAGCAGTGTAAAACAACAACACATGCTAAGAATGTACAGTGGTAGGGCTACGGGCTTGAGCAAGATCAACCTGACCCCTGCCCAGTGGGTTCACTGTACAGTGCTGGCAGACTCCAGCACATCTCTCATGATTTTAAGCACTGCCTCTCAGCTGTGCTGCACCCCAGACACTGTGCTCAGCAGTTCACAAACATGGTCACAACCGTTACACCAGATAGATATTATTTTGCCTGCTTTCTAAGAGAGAAACTAAAGCTGAGAGTCAATATGAAACTTGTGCAAAGGCAAGTGGCTAGGAAATGGCAGAGCCACTAAAAGTGGGTCTATTTGGTGGGGCACACCTGTAATCCTAACACTTGGGAGGTAGAGTCAGGGGGATTGCAAGTTCAAGGTCAGCCCTGGCTATGTATTGAGACCTTGTCTAAAAAAATAAATGGGTCTATTTGATTCCAAAGTCCATACTGAGGAGACACTGAGAATCTCTGTATCCATCAGAGGGAATTCAATAAATTATGGCAATGTACAGAATCCCATGCATGCTGTCATGACTTCTCTCTGCAAGACTTCTCTCATTTAAACATTATTTTATTATCTTTCAAGGAATATTTAATAAACAAGATAGAGAAAATAGTTACTTATGTTACCTACTCTAATGTGTTTGGTGTATGAATATTTGGATATATAAATTATATATTGTGCTTACATATGTTATATATACATAATATAATGTATCGTGTTTGTAAATGTTTTTAATTTACCTCAGTGGTATTGTGCCATAATTCTGATTTTGTTTCTTATTTTTTAATGCCCTTTTCATTACTTCTTTACTTTGTTTTTAAAAACCCATGTTGTTATTGTATTTAGTATTTCAAATGTGCATCTGTTATATCTTATTTACCAGTTCCATTAGGGATGAATGCTGGGCTTGCCTTTAATTTCTATGTACTGAAAACAGTTCAGCAATGGACATTCACACACGCGCACATGCCTTTATGGGCTACACCTGCAGGTTCTAACACTGAGGAATGCGCTAGGCTTATTTCTAAGTAGTAAAAGCCAGTTGCAGAAGAAAATAAAGGCCATTTTCTTTTAATTTTGGCCAAAGAAGATTCTTTTATCTGGTTTTATTTAAATCATCCCAAACCTGTAAGTTCCTGTCATCAGGGTTGCTACTACCATTTGGACACGCTAGTCTGGTCAGTGGATTATGGATGCTCTAAGATTCCTTAATCAAGGATAAGAGCCCAAGAAAGATTATCCATCCATGAGGCATGCCTTCTGCCTCAAGTTAAAATCCTCCTGCAGTTCCTGGAACTCCAAATTAGGTCCAGGATACAATGATTCACCCCAAGGAACTTCTGTGTTGGAATTACAATGCTAGTACAATTCTGCCTGTTGCTAGG